GAAATTCTCTTATATCATGCAAACTCTTTAGTGTTGGTTATTATTAACTCAAGCTAAGACTGGTATGCAGACAGTCCCTCTTTGCTGAATATGTATCCCGGCAAACTCACCTATTGATAGAACAATTCATACTTCTTGGGGTTCAGCTAAAGGTTCTTTGTCATCAACTGATCCAGAACTTTCCTTAGCCACCAAATCGGGATTTACTGGTCACAGACTGTGAAGCTATCTGAAATTATCTCAAGCAAATAATTTATAGATAGTGAGTTGTGGCTCACAAGTTTGTCCAACTCTTAGGAGCATTTACAATGACAGATTATATTAATATATGGTAAATTAAGATACAATTTTATTCCACATCCTTTAATCTGCTGTCCATTATATTGTGATAAATATAGGAATTTATCTTACTTCAATAGTCTGATCTAAGCATGTTCATTTAAATTGATTCGTTTCTCCAGTAGTTAGATAACACTTTCTACTTCTTCTATTTTTATACATAAAAATTAAACACTTATTATCTGTGAAGTTATTGAGAGTTCTGTTTCGTCAGTCTAGCAGATGAAGAGAGTTGAGCTGCTGATGTCTTTTCTGACTTCTTACTTACTGCTTCACTTTGCTACCCCTGTCTAGTTTATCATAACAGTGGGATAATTTTTTATTCATTGCAAAAAAAACACTGGCCCTCTTGAACTCATGCTGAATTGCACGTCCTGTGAGCTCCTGGTTAAGCAGGTTTGTTTAGTCTAATCATAATCAGGAGAACAGAGATCTAATTATAATTATATTATAAAATATAATTGAATGTTTATCTCAATAGACACTCACACTTATAGAAATTAATGCGATATCCTTACTTGTCAACCTTATTTCTTGCTTGTTATGGCTGTTTTTTCTGTAACTTATAGCCATTGTTGATTAGAAACATGTTTGCACTTTAGTGGTGGTGACATCATGTATCTCCTGGATAGCTGTCTTCTTTGCAAGCTCTCTTCCCGTTCCACACGTTGCTAGATAATTGAAACTTTATTCATCGTGAATAATAACTACCCTATTCATATGTAAAGTCAATTGGTTTAACTTTACTTGGCCTAGATTTAAGTGGCATTCATTCGCTTTCTCCTGCGGAATTACAACGCTAGAAACCGGGTTTCGATACCCGTGGTGGGCAGAGCACAGATACCCCATTGTGTAGCTTTGTTCTTAACTTCAAACAAACAAACATTCGCTTTCTCATACACTGCCCTTCGTTATTGAAAAAGTTAAATCTCTATAAGCTTTTCTAACTTAGTTTCACGTAATTTTATACGTTACCTTTTCTATTTTAACATTTGCTTGTTCATTTATTAAATTTTCCTATTTAATACTTAAATATTATTCCCTTACTCCTTTCATAATATTTTTTTTCTAAAAATATTTACATTAAATTAAATTTTACTATTTAAATCTTTCATTTTATAAAACCTTATACTATGTCATCATTAAAATGTACACTCACACACACACACATATATATATATTGAAACCTTAATCATTATTGACATTATGCAAACAATAATCAATCCATCATAATAATTAATACTTAATATTACAGAAACACTGATAATTAAATAAACATAAACTCTGATGATTAATCTGACACAAAGGAAAATAATAATAATAAGGTTGATATGCCAACTACAGTCTTGGGAGATTTTTGACATTCTCATAAGATAATATTAGTGACAATGGGTGAGGGTAATTGAATGGATTTTGGGCTAAGTCTACAGGATCACAAAAGGACATTTATAGTTTACGGAATTATCCTCGTAAATTATTAAATGTTTGTAGACCATAAAGAAAACATAACCAGTCTCACAATACGTGTCTCTTGCTCGTTTGCAGCTAGTTGAAGGTTTGGTTGAATTACTCTTATTCACTGATATCCAGAGATAGATTTTATGCTTAACTACAAACAAACAAATTCTCTATATATAAATCTGCTAACTTGACCAAGTTCTTTAGTAATCCCTGTTGCGTTATTCTTAATTCTTGTAACATATTATGTTCTTGGTTCCTTATGATTTCAGGGAACATTTGTTCAGTTACGTATTTCCTATACTATAATCTATTTATTTCCTGACAAAATAAAATTTTCTTCCTCTATGAATATCAGTTCTGCTTCAATAGAAATAAAAAATATATTACGTAACCATCATCACCAATTGTGATATTTTTATGCGGTGCATGAAATTAGAAACATATTTATTCTATTAGTTTTCCAGATAAAGTTCAATTTCTAGCCATATAATCTAACATTTCACTGCATTCCCCAAGTAATTCTCTAGAATTTACACCAATTTAATTTTTTGATACTTTATGTACTTGATCTCTAGTACGTGTATTTGTATAATACTTTGGACTTTACGGTTAAAAGTAACTTCTAGTTGATGTTGGTTGTATCCAAGGTTACTTCAGTCCTTTTGACCTTGTGTGATAGCCACGTGTGGTGGTAGTTGTTGATGTACTTTTCTGCACGTACTATACTCGCTGACTATACTAAGTTCTGGCTGGCATAATCATCATCTTGTGACCCTTGAACTTCTGTTTCTTATACTATGGTTACTAAGTCACAGTCATGTGATACAAGTTCTATCCGCTCTTTGTGATTGTTTATTTCTATGTATACTTCTTGTTCAGATTCAGCGTTTAATAAAGTTTGTTTTGTTCATTAGTTCAAGTTTCTTTATGTCTTATGTAGGGATTGTAACATGTTCACAGAGTTTATATGTTCCTTTACTTTTTTTAATCTGTTCCCGTGTACTAGGTGTATATTCTTTCCGAATATTTTCGTAACCTCGAAATTTACGTTTCAGTGCCA